GCTGTTAGCTTAAAATTAGCATCGGCTAGCGTGGTCCAAAAACACCATTTAATGACGGATTTCAAACTCAAATGTGGCAAAGTTTCAGCAATTAGGCTTCAAAGAAACGGAGCAGTGGATCAGAATCCAACTTTAAAGCGTTTTTCAACTTTAAACAGTAGATTGAAATTCCCTATGAAGACGAGCTTCATTTCTGGGTCACGTGACTGAATCTACCAATGGCAGAACAGCAACGGGGTGTGTTTTTATATCGCTGACTCAGAGGAAGTGACGCAGACACGTCACTCATTTCTCAGCGAATCAGGGCGTATCACACGGCCGTTTTCAACCAATCACAGAGACAAACAGCGGGGGTGGGTTTTATATCGCTGACTCAGAGGAAGTGACGCAGACACGTCACTCATTTCTCAGCGAATCAGGGCGTACCACACAGCGGTTTCCAGCCAATGGCCGCTCGATATTTCAGCTAGCGTGTTAGCATTTAGCATGAACATTCCGGACAACTTTTCGTCTTTTAAACTGTCAAAATGTACTATTTTCTGTTAAAAATGTAACGAATAACTCTCAAAGCTCCACTGAGATGGCACTCAGTCCTTAAAACGTCTCACCGTCTATTTAAAACACTCGTTCGGACTTATCAGAACCGAGCCGGACCAGAACCGGGTCTGCAGAACCCCCGTCCGTTTAAACAGAATCCACGTTTAACACAGCTCTCCAGCTTCAGTTACACACAACAGACGTACATTGTAGCTTTAAAATGACTCATTGACTCTCATTTCAGCTTTCAAAACATCACTAGCGACAGAACATTGCTGTATTTTCTCTGAGCACTGCAGCTCAAAAACGCTGCGTTTCACACAGCAACTCTCTGCACTTTTCATTTCATGCCAACATGATAATTCAATTGTCACACGAATACAGTCCATTTATGAACCTGTAACGGGCCACCAGTATGTAGATGAACATATACTGAGATATATTCATAAATTAAACGGATTCATTCATTTTTCTGGACTGAATAATATCGTGCATTGAATTTAATAAAATGTAACGTGAGACATTAATTTTCTTTCACCCATCAAATGAATGTGGTCATTTATTAACAGAATCAAAGTTTAACATCAAACATTTACATTAATTTGGCAAAATTGAAAATAACAACAGCTTAATTAATTAGCCAGTTTACAAGGAGGAAACCATACGGCCATGGTTTCCCCATGTCAGGCATTACCACAGACATTTCTGAAAATATCTGGAATGATTTGCTAGCAGGATAGAAGAGTTTTAAAGATGGGAAAATGAAGTTTAGAGGGAGGGAGATGGTGTGTGAGGGAAATTGTTGAACAGAACGGCACCTTCCATTCGAACCCAGCTTTCCTCGGTACGCTTCGGTGGTAAACTCGACTCGTTACCTCTCTGACGATGAATCAGTGGAAACGGAGTTCCAGTTAACGCTACCGGTCCAGCGTCTCCGTAGGATGGCAGAGAACCGTCCGGAGTGGTGGCGGTACTTCATCAACAACAGTTCACCTCACGAGTGGACTCACATGAGTGGAGTCCTTCAGAAGTTCCACTCAGATGTGGAAGATTGCACAATTCCCACGAGACTCGGACGAACTCCGGATCATGTCTGGACTTCTGTTCTCCCCAGCACTTCTTGTGTTCGGTTTGCTCTCCGAACCGAACTCGACCGGGCTCGACTGCTCTCGACTGAACGAACCGCAACCCGACTCTGGTTTGAACTAGGAAGTGCCGACATTTAAAGAGTTCTATTTCTGGTTCATTTGGGAAGTCCCTGATTGGTCGAAATAGCTAATCAGGGGTGTGTTTTTGTGACGTAAGAGGTCACTAGAAGTCAGAAAAACAGCAAGAATGTTTTGGAACAGATTGAAAATGTTTTAGAGACAGACGAGAGAAATGTTTGGACGAGTTGGGGGAAAACAGGTGCCAGCTTCTCTGTTTACGTCTGAGAGGATATAAAAACATGACAGTTCGTTCCAACAACTTGTCTTCGACCTTTGACCGACATCACAACTTGCTCATTTCAGACAGAAGATCAGAAAATGCATGAATTACTCCGTAACACATTCCAATTTGATTTCTACTTTGAATGAGGATTAAAAAATCACTAATACTGTTTCACAGTTGAATTAAAATGAGTAGTTCACTTCAACATTTTAAAAATGGTTTGAACTAAACACACTTTGATTATCAAACATTTGTAAAATAGTAATGATAATAAAAAAGAGAGTGTTCTTTCAATTGATCAGTGTAGGACACTTAGAAAGTCTCTGGATGAACTTAATCTTGTGTTTCTGGATTCAAATCAATGAAATACAGTTCTTGTCCCAGGAAGGCCCTCAAGGCCAGGACTTTGACCTGAGGCTTAGTTCACTACAATATTATTCAGTCCAGAAAATCGAATGAATCCGTTTAATTTATAGATAATATATCACAGATATATGTTACCCTACAGCAGCAACATGAAACACGTCAGCAGCAACATGAAAAAGGTCAGCAGCAACATGAAACAGGTCAGCAGCAACATGAAACAGGTCAGCAGCAACATGAAACAGGTCAGCAGCAACATGAAACACGTCAGCAGCAACATGAAACAGGTCAGCAGCAACATGAAACAGGTCAGCAGCAACATGAAACAGGTCAGCAGCAACATGAAACAGGTCAGCAGCAACATGAAACACATCAGCAACAACATGAAACACATCAGCAGCAACATGAAACACGTCAGCAGCAACATGAAACAGGTCAGCAACAACATGAAACAGGTCACCAGCAACATGAAACACATCAGCAACAACATGAAACACATCAGCAGCAACATGAAACAAATCAGCAGTAACATGAAACAGGTCAGCAGCAACATGAAACAGATCAGCAGCAACATGAAACACATCAGCAGCAACATAAAACAGGTCAGCAGCAACATGAAACAGGTCAGCAGCAACATGAAACACATCAGCAACAACATGAAACACATCAGCAGCAACATGAAACAAATCAGCAGTAACATGAAACACATCAGCAGCAACATGAAACACATCAGCAGCAACATGAAACACATCAGCAG